GGGGGAGGGGTATAATTAGACTATCCAACCAATCAGCTCTATTGTATTGGAGGCAAACGTTGAATCGGGAATCCTGCCTCTTTTTTAACCTTATTCTGTTTAACGAGGCTTCAAACCATATCATAATTAAATGAACTATTAAATAGCAGACATTACAATACCATAACATAGCTTCACCACATCATGGCATACAAAGTGAAACTCTCAATGGAATATCAACTCTCATCAATGTCACAGACCATACCTCCCATTTCCGCTTCCTAAATTATATCAATTGTGTTGTTGATGGGAGCGTAAAACAAACATAAAATCATCTCATATTTCAGGTTTCTTTATTCTGCTGACCTGTTCAACGATATATGCCCAGGTACGTGTTCAAACCATGTAAAGGGTAGGTCGAGTGTACATGAATTCTCCTCCCTTCCCCTGCCTACACACACACACACACACACACACACACACACACACACACACACACACACACACACACACACACACACACACACCACGCAAAGTTTTTTTCTGTTAGTGTCAGGCCTTAAGACACCCGCAGATTTCTCAAATAAAATCGTCATTTCTCTGCTTGCACTTTTTCCGAGTTTTTCCGCCTCCAATACTCACGTATTAAGTATTCGGAAGGATCGCTGGGATTACACTATTTGTCTGGTTCTCAGCTTGTTCGAGCAGATGATTTGGTATTAAAAGACAATAATGACCCCCCTCCCCAATCCATTTCTATTGCCATTTTTCCGTTCCCTGGACTTGAATATTCGAAAGAACCAGCACCCAGATTAGAGTTCATCGACGGTGACATTTCCTGGCTCACAACACAGGCATTAAATTTTCAACAACAGCCATTGCTTCCTAACCCAAATCAGATTGCATAAGACAACATTTTGTGTCCACAACTGTCCTTTTAAAATATCGGTGTTTACGCCATCATTGAAATAATTTAGGAAGAGAAATTAGGCCCTCGCTGTCAGGACCTACCCCACCCCGGGTGAGAGGGATACAACTTTCAGTAGGAAGACCATAATAATAGATAGATAGCATTTGTATAGCGAAAATCCCCGCTCAACACCGAAATACTTGTAAAAAAAACCTTTAAAAATTTCCCCGCACGGCAATCGAACAGAGGCCTTCTGTTTGAGACAATAAAGCGCCTAAACATTACACCACTGCCCTGTAAAAAAGTCGTTCTTCCCAATAAAGCAGGATAAATAAAAAGGATAGAAAATGAAAACAGAAATGAAACAAAATAAACGGTCAAACGGTGTGCCCTAAAGAAACACAATCATTGCGCAATGTGGCAAAACAAAATAAACAGGACAAATACATAATTAGTTGACGAAGTATGAA